AAAGTGTTTATAATTACAAACCGTTTTGACATTTATAAAATATACTTGTTTAATTTTTTAAAAACTTGAGTGTAAAGTTTACACTGTACAGCAAATGTATGATAATGACTACTTTTATAGAAAAAGTTGGAATGAACCTGGCCATTATTATAGACCTTGCAAAAAATTTGCTCGGATTGAGGAATAAGTATTCAGGCAATACACGATTGGATGGACAGGTAGTAGTAATAACGGGCGCTAATCGGGGTATTGGCAAAGAGACTGCATATCAACTGTCACTCAGAGGAGCAAAGGTATGAATATTACTTAATTTATTGTTTATTATTTGCATTAATAGACAAATGTTTTAATTTTATGTTTAGATAATCATCGGTTGTAGGGATGAGTTGAGGGCAGAGAATGCCATCAAAGAGATTGTGTCTCTGAATCCAAACGCAAACATAATTCACATTAAACTCGATTTGTCTTCTCTTCAGTCGATTCGGGCATTCGTTCAACAAATCTATGAAAACGAGACGAAAATTGATTTACTTATAAATAACGCCGCAATCGCTTCAGACATTGAGGGGAAAACAGAGGATGGCTTTGAGTTGATTTTCGGGACAAGCCATTTGGGTATTTAGTTGCATATATTTATTTAAAATAATTTATTCACTTATATAACTGAATATTGTTTAGGACACTATCTCTTAACACTACAATTACTGCCATTACTGCGAAAGGCACCGAAAGCCCGGGTCATAAACGTGTCATCTTTGGCCTATGCGTCTGGAAGAATACATTTCGAGAATATAAACCTACGTAACGGTGCTTTTAATATGATGGCAGCCAACTCGCAAAGCAAGTTGGCTACCGTTTTGTTCACCCGCGAGTTGGCTAAACGTTTGGGTGCAACACCACAATCAATGCCTATTCACTACATCCCGGACTTGTAGACACTGAATGGTACCGACATATTGAGTCCCCTGTTGTCAAGTTTATCGCAAAAAATACCGCGAGTTGGCTAAACGTTTGGGTGCCAACACCACAATCAATGCCTATTCACTACATCCCGGACTTGTAGACACTGAATGGTACCGACATATTGAGTCCCCTGTTGTCAAGTTTATCGCAAAAAATGTCACCAAAATGTTTGCCATGTCTGTCGAGAGGGGCACTCAGACCACCCTTTACTGCGCTCTCGAGGAATCACTGGACAGTGAATCCGGATTTTATTATGAGTTTGTGTTTCATATAATTTTCATTACATATATTTATTGATAGTTTGTTTGGTTTTCACAGCAATTGTTTACTCGTGGATAACATGTATGCGAACGCGACGGACGATAAAAGTGCGGAACTGTTGTGGCAATTGAGCGCAGATTTAGTCAAATTAGAGGATAAATATAAATTGTGAACATTTATTAAATCGTTTTTCTTAAGCAAAAAAATGTAATTATATTTTAAAACAATTTCATTAACATTTAACAAACTTTTGTACAATAGAAGGTGAAAAATAACCTTATTGTTAGATATTAATGTTATCTAAATAACTATTAAATTGTGAAAAATATTTAATAAAAGAGTTAAAATTTAATATTATTTTCTCATGTGTTATCTGTAAAGAAATATTAAAATTTAAACATGTCTATAAATTATAGACTATAATACAATATACAGATTTTGGATTTTCATACAAAGTTATTAGAGTATTTGTCTGGTTTGGTTTTGTTTCCGATAGCCTAGCAACAAAATAATCTACATAAAATGTTTAGATGTTTTCTTATAATATCTATATTAAATGATAAATGTTAATACAATTAAGGCATGCGCTATAAAAATTGATTTAGATAACAGGTGTACAACTATTACACAAATATACTATGTTACAAAGTTCAGATATTGATAAAATATTGTAAAATACTTTATAATTTGTGAAAATAATTTGTTTACTGACTTGTGAATCTAGTTTATAAAACTCTTATATTTTTCAAATTTACAAATGCAACATAAAAGATATAAAATTAAGAAGTTTAAATATACAGTAAACTAAAGAATTTACCGGAACAAATTCCTTAATTTATAAATCAGTATAATTTACTAATACAGTATATATAAATAAACATGTCAGTCCCGATATTACAACGAATTTCATTTATATTGTCATCCTTTTGGGAATTATTTCGAAATAGTTTTGGTTTCAGTATTGTTTGTCAGAGTAATAGACGATTGGATGGACAGGTAGTGATCATAACCGGTGCCAACACTGGTATCGGCAAAGAGACTGCATATCAGTTGACATTACGTGGCGCTAAAGTATGTAATAATGCTATTGTAATGTATTTACTATCATTTTTTCTGTTATTTTATATTTATTAACATATTTTTAGGTAATCATTGGCTGTAGGGATGAGTTGAGGGCAGAGAATGCCATCAAAGAGATTGTGTTTCGGAATCCAAACGCAAACATAATTCACATTAAACTCGATTTGTCTTCTCTTCAGTCGATTCGCGCATTCGTTCAACAAATCTATGAAAACGAGACCAAAATTGATATTCTTGTGAATAATGCCGGCGTTTGT